AGTGATATAACTGAAACATAGAGAGGAAGATAATCAGCCTAAAATCACACAGACAGCAAATGCCAGTAGCAGAATTCAAACCTGGATTGAGACCACGGTCTATGCTTTTATTATTTTAATCCATATTGGATCTAGATCTAGATATGGGAGCTGCCACTTCAGAGGGAATGATAGGATTGTCTTTGTACAAATGACTTGGTACACAGTCTAGAAGCAGAATGGGTGAGAGCATGTGATCTTGAGATAGAATGCCAAAGTTCAAATCTCAACTCTGCACACTGGCTAGGTTATCTTAGACAAATTACTTAGCCTTTTTTTTTTCTTTTTTTGGATCCGGTCGTGGGGCCTGAACTTTGGGCTTGGGTGCTGTCCCTCAGCTCTTCAGCTCAAGGCTAGCACTCTATCACTTGAGCCACAGCGCCACTTCTGGCTTTTTTTTTTCTGCTTGTGTGGTGTTGAGGAATTGAACCCAGGGCCTCAAGCATGAAAGGCAAGCGTTCTACCACTAAGCTGCCTTCCCAGCCCCTACTTAGCCTTTTGATACCTAAGTTTCTTTATTCTCAAAGTGGAGATAATGTTAATAATTGCTTTGCTCTGTTTCTATAAGGATTAAGTGAGTTAGTCTTGTAAATCATGAGTTGGTACTTATGAAACTTAGGAGTGTGTTCATATTGCTGTAAGTGCTCTGTGTTAGCATGTATTACTAACATCACATGGTGATGGGTTTATGCCTCACATATGGTATGAGTAGACATTACATAATTTTTTACTTGCTGTAGTTGCAGCAGGACCTTGTAAACTGTTTTTCTCATGTTATTCATATTTATTTGCATTTTCCTCATAGCTTAAAATTGCTGCCAAAAAGAAAATTAAAACCAAGCTCCCTGCAGATTAATTTAAGTGATTATTTTGGCACCTATTTGTGCTTGAAGTTAGATTTGCTGCTTTTTTATCAGACTTGGAATTCATCCACTTACCCCATTAGATTTGTCACTCATTCCTATCTAGCTTGGTGCAAGAGAGTTCACTGAAATCATGAGCATGATTCACTAGATTTGTAAAGATCTTAGAGTGTCACAGTGAGATCCATAGACAGTGCTATTTAAAATGAGCTTTTATCAGTGATTGCTGTTGTATTTAGTATTGAGATTAATTTGTCTTCCTGGAAATTTCATTTGGGTATTTATAGTCTAACATCTAAATCAGAAAGGAAAATTCTAATAGTGACTATGGAATCCTCATCTCTGAAGGAGAAAAATGGGCCAAGAGAGTTTATTGGAAGTGACTGGCTAAAAAGAGCTAGCAGAGACTGAGGACTTGGGTCTCCTACCTCCTGCTCCTAACTCATCTAAACTGCTGTGGAATGGTTTGACTTGAACAGAAACCTAGGTGAAATCACAAATGTTGTGTGTAGGTTCAGTGTACCACTTCAAAGAAGAAAAAAGAAAAGGAGAGATAAGGGGTCGTGTGAATTGGCTTTATTACTTCTTTCCTCACTCATGCTAGGATCCAGTCTCTGCTTGGTAGTTGGGTCAAGCTTAACTTTAAGAGCTTGTCCACTCTGTCACAATGGCCTGTGAGGTGTTCTTAAAAACAAATTCTGCATGGAAACAAAATTTAGCTGTTTTTATTAATACTTCATTATCATAAATGATAAATGACTAGTAGTTTAGTCAGTTTAGAACGAAAAGGACTCTTGACTCCTGTTTTTTTTTTCCTCATTGTGGGGCCCGAACTCCAGGCCTGGGCTCTGTCCCTGGGCTCCTTTTGCTCAAGGCTAGCACTCTACTACTTGAGCTACAGTGCCAATTCTGGCTTTTTCTGTGATTAATTGGACATAAGAGTCTCACAGACTTTTCCTGCCCAGTCTGGCTTCAAACTGTGATCCCAGAATCTCAGCCTCCTGAGTAACTAGGATTACAGGTGTGAGCCTGTGGCACCTGGCTACTCTTTAACTGTTTTTAATAGGAAACACTTAAAGCTAAATTTTCATTCTCACTGAAAGATAAGACAATTTCTCTTAGAAGGTAAAGATGACGATTCATTAGTTTCCATTTTTATATGTAGTTTAGGTTAATTGGGAACCTTTTGAAGTTGAATGTACTGAAGTTTTAATATATATGTATAAGTTGCTTGAGCAGTTTTAATTAAAACTTACCTCTATTTTGAAACTAATTACTTTCAACATTCTGAGATTAATGAGGCTTAGTCATGACACCTCCCAGGTTGAGGGTGCTCCATAAATATTAGTTTGATGTTTGCCTGATCCAGTCTTTCTTTATTTTTTTTATTCTTTTTTGTGGTGATGGTACTAACTGAGGAACTTATACATTACAAAGCAAATACCGTACCACTTGAGCCATATTTTCAGCTCTTTTTGCTTCAGTTACGTTACAGTAGGGTCTTGAGTTTTTACTCAGGCCAGCCATAGACGTTTGACTTCCTATCTATGCCTCCTGCATTCCTGGGATTACAGGTATGAACTCCTATCGCTGGTTTATTTTGTTGACATGGGCTCTTGCTAAGTTTTTGCCCGGGCTGGCTTTGAGTCACAGTCCTCCCAATCTCCTCCAGATAGTTGGCATTACAGGCATGAACTATTGCGCCTTGCCCTAATCCAGTCTGTATAATGATGGTCACTCAGAGAGCGAGAATATTCCTACTTCAGAGCTCCAGCAAGGCTTTCCAGTTCATCTCTGGCTTTCCCCTGTCAACAGAAGCCTTTTTTCCTAATGTATTAATGTATATAAATTGGGGGATTCATTTTTTTCCAGTGGTTTGTAATTCATTACCATATTTAGTATTTTGGTGCTTAGCTTGTTCACATTTAGTGATGAGAACTCCTTCAGAATGACTTCCATTTCCTTGTGATAAACTCCCAGTGTTGTATTAATACTGCTTTACTTTCTGGTATAATGATGATCAAGGCTCATCTTGTGCCTTTCTTGTCCCAACCATGGAACCAGGCATTTCCTTGAACAGTTTCTTGTAGGAGAAATAGTATTAGAGCCAAGACCTGGACTTTTAAGTGTGCTTGTTGCTACAGGAATGCATGCTTTCTGCCCAGTTTAGCAATCAGTGCTGGAAAATTCATATGTCCATCCTTATTCACATATACATACTTGTTTGTATAATTTAGACATCATGAGGTTTTTTTGTGTTTTTGTTTTTTGGTTGGTCATAAGGCTTGAACTCTAGGCCTGGATGCTGTCCCTTAGCTCTTCAGCTCAAGGCGAGCACTCTACCACTTGAGCCACAATGTCACTTCCAGTTTCCTAGTGGTTTATTAGAGATGAGTATTACAGACTTTCCTGCCCTGACTGGCTTTAAACCGTGATCCTTAGATCTCAGACTTATGAGTAGCTAGGATTACAGGTGTGAGCCACTGACACCCAGAGACATTATGAGTCTTTATACCAGGGCCTTCTCCTGTGCATGCCTGGCAACAGCATGAATCTTCACACTAGTGCCTTCTTCTGTCCATCTTCAAAGTTCTTTCTGGCTTCTGTTATTCTTTCTTTTTTCTTTTTTTTTTCTGTCGGTCATGGGGCTTGAACTCTGGGCCTGAGCACTGTCCCTCAGCTCTTCAGCTCAAGGCTAGCACTCTACCACTTGAGCTACAGCTCCACTTCCTGTTGTTATTTTTTTCTCATGGTTTATTGCAGATAAGAGTTTCACGGACTTTATTGCCCGGACTGGCTTTGAACCATGATCCTCAGATCTCAGCCTCCTTAGTAGCTAGTATTACAGGCATGAGCCACTGGCACCCAGCTTTCTCTTATTCTTTGATTGTGCATTCTTTCTTTAGTGAGAATTTCAGCTCCCAGCAACAGCAACACATTTATTCTTTTGCTTGTTCCTCCAATATACTTAAACCTAGGTTCATCTATACAATGATAGTAAGCTAGCCTAGTGAAAAAAAATAAAATTAGTTTGCACCTTTTTTCTCCTTGCTTACTTAAGCCCTGAGGATAATCAAATACTGCTTTTTTTTCCTTTTCCTGAACATTCATTACAATATTCATTTGAACTAAAATTAGGTTTATTTTAATTTGCTTTTAATTCTAGATAACTCTCCATTTCCATTCATATTGTTAATTTTATTTCTTGAATATGTAAAATGCTCTCTGAAATGCTCTCAAATCATAACTATAAAAGAGCATTTTTCATAATTTAATTTTATTTCCATTTTCTCATTTGATATAAAAGTCATGTAATAGCAAAAGAACATTTATTGTAATATGTTGTTTTTTATTTTCAAAATAATTTTGGGTAACATCCAAAAAAAAGTACTCATTACTTATGAACTATAACCCCTCTGTACATCACTTTATAACAATAAAAAATAAAAATTTAAAAATAATGATTTCTACCAATCTCAATAAAGACTATAAAGGAGCTTAATTTGTGGAAACACATCTCAATTAAGACTGTAAAGGAGCTTAATTTATGATATGAGCTTTGATGTATAGACAGACTTATAGCTAGCTGTATAGATGGAATGGCTCTTTTAGTACACCAGAGTTAATTCCAGTATATGTATACCTTGACTCAGTAGGTCAGTATTGGGAATCTTGCTGTGATACAACTGGGAGTGTTAGGACCTCCTTAAATGTGTCTCTGATGCAAAAGACTAGTGACTGTGTAATAAGACAAAGTTATTAAATCAAGATTAATTAATCCAAAGTAATATCAGTGAATTAGTAAATACCTTGGTTGCTGTTTCAAATATACTTTCCTTTTTTTTTTTTGTGGTTGAGAAATAGTGCCTGTGTAGAAATTGTGCAGTCTAACGATATTTTCAGCAGCCTATTTGAAGAGTCACACAGCTGGTTGGCTTATACCCATCTTGTGTCCACCTTGTCTAATAATGTGTTAGGTCTATAATTCTTTAATCCAGGATAAAGCTGTAGCATACCAGCTACAACTTAGCTGGCTAAAAGAGCTAATGGCATTGGGATAGGAAATATAACAAGGCTCTGCTTCTTCTCTGCTTACAGCCTTAATACAGATACTGGCAGCGGCTGCAGCTGAACGAGATGTGGTTTATTTCACCTTTGGGGACTCAGAATTGATGAGAGACATTTACAGCATGCACACTTTCCTTACTGAGAGGAAACTGACTGTTGGTAAGTGCAAGATGGTCTCGACACTTGGTATCTAGATGGATTGTCTACCATTTAGGAGGAATACTTGCTTAATCTGGATGAATCACAGTAGGTAGGAAGAAACAAATGTGCACCTTGCAGTGGGGAGGAAAGAGTTCTCAGGGGAAGTGTCTACAGTCTTCTTTACTGGCAGAATTTCATCCGTGCTGTTGAATAAATATGTCAGCTTATTATAAAATATGGTCTAGCAGGGCACCAGGATACATTCCTGTAATTCCAGCTACTTGAGAGTCTGAGACAAGAGAATTGTCATTTTCTGGCTAACCTGGGCAACATAGTGAGACACCATCTTTACAAAAGAAAAGGAAAACTGGGGGCCAGTGGCTCACATCTGTAATCATAGCTCCTCAGGAGGCTGAGATGTAAGGATCACAGTTTGAAGCCAGCCCAGGCAAGAAAGTCTCTGAGACTCTTATTTCCAGTTAACCACCAAAGAAGCCAAAAGTGAAGCTGTGGCTTAACTGGTAGTGCTAGCCTTGGGCAAAACAACTCAGGGACAGTGCCTAGGCCCTGATTTCAAGTCCCAGAACTGGCACCCAGGAAAAAAAAAAAAAAGAATAGGTTTAAAAAGCTAAGATAAATGTCCATGTTTACTTTTTTGTATGGGGGACTATGGAGTATAGTATAGTTCAGTAGAGCATATGTTTTATGTAAGAGAGATCCTGGGTTCCAATCCACTGAACAACAACAACAAAAAAAAATATAGAACAGGTAGAGGACACATATGAAGACATACAAAGGTAGGTTCAAGCCTGAGTCCTGTTTGTTGCATCCGTCAGAATGCATTGTGCTCATCCATGGGAGATGACTCTGGCAGGGATTCATAGACCATGTTCCACCTGTAACCTGCTGTGATCATGACCTAAGTAGTTTCTTTAAAGTAGTCTTAAAATGTTTATGTCAGGAAAGCTTCCTGGGCATATGAAATCATGCTACATTTTCAAAAGCTAAATCTGAACCTATTCTGTTTAGATTAAGATAAAACTTTTTTTATGTACAAATCTTAACTGAAAACATTCTGGCCTTTTTTCCTCTAGGAGAAGTGTATAAGCTATTGTTACGATATTACAGCGAAGAATGCAGAAACTGTTCCACCCCAGGACCAGACACCAAGCTTTATCCATTCATATACCATGCTGCTGAGTCATCTGAGGAGACGGCTGACCAGGCTGGACAAAGGACAGGAGCATGAGGAGCAAATAAATAGAACAGCCTTCACCTCTTGAAGACATCCTGCTGGAGTTGTCTAGTGTCTCATGAGCTAACTCCAGTTGATACAAGGGTGTATATAACCCATATTTGTAATCACGGGTGTGGTCCCTCTACACACATGGAATTGTCATATACTCCCTCCATCCTGATCTACTTGGGTTTATATATGTGTTCTTTCTATTTTCTTGTGTTTCAGTCTTCATTCTTTGATTTGATTAAGTTCTTGTGAAACCTCAAGAAAGATTATGCTTAGCTGCTATATCTTTTCCTGTCTGTGTACTATGCCAGTTGCTTCTGCAGCTAGTGGACACAAAGGAGCCTGGGAAGAAGGTGAAATCCAGGAATCTCTGTAATGGGATGTGCCACAAATCTCCTTGTAGGCCTTTCACTCCCCAACTTTTGGTAGGCTTGCATTGTTTGAATTTTTGAATTTTGAAAATTAACCATACATGTTGCATAACAAAAGTATTCTAGGTTAAAACAGTCAAAGATGAATAATTTTCAAGACTAGTTCCCTTGAGTCATTAACTTTGTCCACTTTAATTGACATTGTTTTGGAAGCTGACCAAGATAAAATGAAATGAAGAACAAAAAGTTTTCCTCATATGCTATAAAGAAAATAGATTTCAGAGAATTGAGGGTTTGTTTTTGTTGTTTTCTTGAGATTTTCTTCTTTTTAAATTAGGGTCAATGTTGTACTGTGGTGCTTGAGGCATATTTCTATAACCAAAGTTTGGCAACTGGAAACTTCATACTGATTTGTACATATTAAAGTTTCTGTGCTATTCAGAAGTTATCTAATTGATGTTTTCATTAATAAATCATTTGTCAGGACCTCCCACATCATCTGTATTTTATATACATACATATCTGAGCATGTTCTATAATTGTATCTGTTTAGGAACACAAAGTCTAGGGCCAGCTGAGTGGGGGTGAGGCATGATTAGGGTTAGGCTAAATGGAGGCTCAGCTTAAAATCTGTTTTTCACATTTGTGTCCATTGGGGGGGGGGAGGGAACAGGTGCTGGTGGCTCATGCCTGTAATCCTAGCTATTCGAGGCTAAGATTTGAGGATCACAGTTCAAAGCCAACCCTGGGCAGAAATGCCCATGAGACTTATCTCCAATTAACCACCAGAAAATCAGAAGTGGCACTGGGCCCAAAGTGGTAGAGTGCTAACCTTGAGCAAAAGAGCTCAGGGACAGTGCCCAGGCCTTGAGTTCAGAAAGCCCCACAACGGACAAAAAAGAAACAACCTAGCAACAAAATAACCGTGTCTTTGGGAGGTGATTAAACTAGAAGCCAAAGCTAATCCCATGCTTAACTACATATATTTTTATCATGAAAATCACATAGAGATTTTCAAAGTAGTCCCAACCACACCGTAGAAGTTCCAGTTTACACCCAGGAAAAGCCAATAAAGTTTAAATCTTCTTAATAAGGAGCTTGGAAATAGTTGGTCTGAACTTGTTATCCTCACTCACAGGAAAAAACAAACAGCGTCTGGGCCATTATAGGTAACTCTACTTTTCTATAGATGAGGAGATAATGGGATTAAACCTAACAAGTCAGTCCCTTGTCTTTGATGAAGTGCTTTACTGTATTTAAGATTATTTATTTAGTCCGTTGTAGGGCCTGAACTCTGGGCCTGGCACTGTCCCTCAGCTCTTCAGCACCACTTCCAGCTTTTTCTGCTTATGTGGTGCTGAGGAAATGAACCCATGGCCTCATGCATGCTAGGCAAGCACTCTACCACTGAGCTACCTTCTCAGCCCTTAACCAAGATTTTTAACCAACTCCCAAATGCAGAGGAATTTGGCTTCATTTCCACTGATTCTAGAATCTCAACTCTGTTTCAGTTAAGCATTTGTGGTTATATTTCATTTCCTTCTTTTTTCCATCCCTGTACTCTTTCCCTTTTAGCTAGTCCAAGATTAAGCCAACAGTGCTTCATGCACAGTATGAGCTGGTTCTTGTGATACTAGGAAAGAACAAGCAGACGAAAGATGATCAAGGCCTCAACAGATCAGGTCAGGATTTAATCATCGCTGAAGAGGATCACCAAGTAGCACCAAACAGAGTCAGAGATACAAGGGACCAAGAGCACGGGGGTTAGGGCTTAAAATACAGTCCAGCATGAGTTTTTTTGGATTTGTGATGCCCTTACTACTGCAGCAGACAATTCTATACTTCCAGACAAGATGCGGGGAGGGGTGGGGGCCTCGGGTAGGTTTTGCTGAGAATAGCTCAAGGATAGGGATTCTGATGAGATTACTGGGAGGACCCTTCTGGGAAGGGTCCCCCGGGGAGGGTAATCAGTGGGCCATGGGAACAATATGGAGTTATGAAAACAAAGCAGATTCTAATGATAGAGAAACTACAATAAGAAGTCTACCTGCCCTGTATCCCAGAACATGGAAGCTGAAGCTCAATGCCTGAGTTCTGTGCAGGGTTAGGGATGTGGCCAGCTACTAACTACCTCTTCTGTGAATTTTCAGGAGTGAACTTGGAAATGATAGGCTCTTTGTCCCTGCATATCCTGTCCTTGAGACAGCTAAATTAGACAATGAAGTGAGCTAATGCCCATTATTGAGGAAAAGTGGAATGAAGCACTGTTAACTTTGTCCTTAAAAGAGAAAGGAAGGTAAGAGACAACAAAAGCAAACATCTGATTAGCATTCGTATCTATTCTGAGATTATATATGTGCACCAGTCCTGGGACTTGCACAGGTCCTAGGTGCTGTCCTTGATATTGATACAACTTTGCCATAATTCCATTTCCAGCTTTTTGGTGATTACTTGGAGATGAGTCTCACAGACTCTCCTGCTTGGACTGGCTTCAAACTAGGATCCTCAGATCTCAGCCTCCTGAGTACCTGGGATTACAGACATCAATCACCAGTGCCTAGCTGTTCTGAGATATTTAACAGCACCTTTTTATTTTCTTTCATGAAAAGTCTTTGGTTTTATTTCCTGTTGTTTACTCCCTCTTTAATCTATGAAGTTTAGAAATCTTGTTTCTAATAAAGTTCATTTTCAGCTTCTGTCTTACACAAATCTACAATAACAATTTGAGGATGTGGGATCCAGTTATGGAAAAGGCATAAAACTTTAAATCAGACGCATTGGGTTCAGCTGCTAGCCACATCCCTAGTTAATATTTTAACCTTGCCTAATTGAATCTCAGACTTAACTCAGCTGAAAAATAGACTAATGAGCACCTACTGAGAAATGAAATATTAAAGTCGACCAGGAAACATTTATGGAGGCTCTATTGCATACTAGTTGCTCTATGTATTCTAGCCCATTTTTCCAGTAAGCTAATAGGAGCTTATAATGAAAGGGGCCTACCCTGTCATTGCTATAGGGATTGTTAGGAAAACGGAAAACGGGACAGGTGAGGACCGTTTATTGACGAAGAAAAAGGAGCAGGCAACCTTCCTGCACCACTTTCAGCTTTTATTTTTATTGGAGATAAGAGTCTCACTTTCCTGCCCAGACTGTCTTCAAACCTTGATCCTCAGATTGCTGCCTCCTGAGTAGCTAGAATTACTGGCAAGCCACCGGTGCCTGTCTTGTTTTATTTTAAATATAAGGTTAATGTGTCATGTTCTGATTTGGGGGATGGGGTGAGGTCGAAATGTGTTTGTTTGGGTTTTTGGGGTTTTTTTCTTCTTTTTTGGGGGTCTCGTCGTGGGGCCTGAACTTTGGGCCTGGGCGCTGTCCCTCAGCTCTACAGCTCAAGGCTAGCACTCTACCACTTGAGCCACAGCGCCACTTCCGGCTTTTTTCTTTTTGCTTATGTGGTGCTGAGGAATCGAACCCAGGGCCTCATGCATGCAAAGCAAGCGCTCTACCACTGAGCCACCTTCCCAGCCCCCTAAATGTGTTTTTTAATAGAGAATAAACTCTGACCTCATCACCCATTTTTTTTTTTTTTTTTGTCGGTCGTGGGGCTTGAACTCTGGGCCTGGGCGCTGTCCCTCAGCTCTTCAGCTCAAGGCGAGTGCTCTACCACTTGAGCCACAGCGCCACTTCCGGTTTTCTGGTGGTTTATTGGAGATAGGAGTCTCATGGTCTCTCCTGCCCGGGCTGGCTTTGAACCGCGATCCTCAGATCTCAGCCTCCTGAGTAGCTAGGATTACAGGCGTGAGCCACCAGCGCCCGACTATCACCCATTATTTTTTTTCCCCTCAAATACTCATTTGTTGTTCCTTTGAGGTTGTGCATGAGCTCAATGAAACATTTGGAGTATGTCTTAGGGACTCAGTGAACATTTTTTGCATGAAATCTTGCCATTCCCCACTAGGATTTAAGATGTAGAAGTGATGTCTGGCCCCAGTACTAGGGATGGCTTTGGCTGCCTGTGTTTTCTTTCTTGCGAGGTACTTGAGCCGCGCTTTTTCCTGCTGTTAGCTCCCTGTTCCTTTATCCTTTGTGTGTGTGTGTGTGTGTGTGTGTGTGTGTGTGTGTGTGTGTGTGTGTGCGCGCGCACGCGCGCTTGCACTTGGTCCCAAGGCTTTCAGGGCCTGGGATTTATCTCTTAGCTTTTTTGCTCAAGGCTAGTATTCTGCCACTTAAGCCACCACTCCACTTCTGGCTTTTTCCTAGCTACTTGGAGATACAGACTTTCTTGCCTGGGCTGGCTTCAAACTGCCATCTACCTCCTGTGTAGGTAGGATTAACTGGCATGAGCCACCAGTGCCTGGCCCTTTCCCTCATTTTATCCTCCCACAAGAGTGCTCACGTCACAGTCAAGACAAATGTCCTAAAGTTTCTGAGGACATGTCCTTAACCATTCACGCATTTGTGAGCACTGTATTTGCTCTGGGCCAGTCACTGGACTCTGATCAAGGGGTGCAAAGATGAAAGACTTGCCCCTGTACTCAGCTCTGAACATTGGCAGAGTAGACTTAGGTGATCTAGACCTGGCAACTGGCAGTTCTCTTCGCTGTCCAGTGTGACCTAGAGAAACCTGTTGAGTCTTTATGTTTTCAGTGTGGAAACTCAAATACAATCCTGCACATGTCAGGTCCCTCACAACTCCCTTACACAGCTTTCTCTGAGGAGGGTTGTGTAACAAATGTCCTAATGCTTAGTGTGATGTGATGTGGGCCAGCTAATGGCTTTTTCTTCACTTAGTGCTGCACATCTTGATTCCAGGGGGCCTTGGATCTGAGGAAGTTTAGCTGAGGTAATAAAGTGATTTCCTATTAGAAATGTTCATTTCCCTGTAGTGTATCCAAACAACCTAGATTAAAGGTCAAGTTTCTTTTGCTTTATTTGGAAATACGTCACCTCGATCTGAACAGTACATGTTCAATCAATAAAAAAAATGAAGAAAGGCTGGGCACCAGAGACACACCTGTAATCCTAGCTACTTGGGAGGCAGAGATCTGAGGATAACAATTCAAAGCCAGCCCATGCAGGAAAATCTGTGAGATTCTTATCTCCAGTTAACCACCAAAAAGCCTGAAGTAGAGCTGTGGCTCACGTGGTAGACAGCTAGCCTTGAACAAAAAGGCCCAAGGACAACACCCAGGCCCAAGCCCCAGACCGGAATACACACACACAAAAAGATGAAACTTAGTTTAACACAAATACTACTAGTGTACATTTTAGAAATATTCATTTGGTCACTTGACCAATTGGCTATGATGAAACAATATGGTGAAACAGTGTGCATTGAAGCAAAGTAGCCCACCTCAAGGCAACCAGGGAGCAAAGAGGCCAGGAATTAGATATACCCTTCTAGGATGCCCCTTCTAAATCTACTTCCAACCAAGCCTTACCTAG